CTCAAACTAAACTGTTTCCTATTGTGGACTTCAACTTGATACCTCTGGACCCTTTCCCTTCCCTTCCCTTTCCCTTCCCTTCCCTTCCCTTCCCTTCCCTTCCCTTCCCTTCCCTTCCCTCCCCTTCCCAGGAGATGCTCAGACCATGGTCAAAATTTCTGTTGTTCTTTTTGGAAGTTTTCTTCCCTCCACCACCCTACAAAAAAGGGTCTTCCTGAGGAGTTTTACTTAGGGAATAAATCCTTTGTCATTAAGTATGACTTGATGAGTGTTTTATTCCTTGAGGGAGGGATATTTTTAATGAAAGAATAATCCAGTTGATAGCATCAGGCATCATTAACGATCAGTTGCTCTGTTTTTGCTTTTCTGCCTTGAGCAAAAACATTCTTAACCCAGCGTGTTTGTACCTGGAGCCTCCTGTGAGCACGCTGTTGGTTGGTTAAATCAAACCAGGCATCTAAAATCCCTCCAAAAGGCAATTATTGAACAGCTTTCAGCAGGGCAAACTTGTCTAAAACTGACTTGCTGTTCCGAAGGGGTTTTTGTGAATCTGCTGCCGTTCCCTGGTGTGTATTCCTGACCTGGACGTGATGCTGGGGCAGGAGAAGGGAAGGGATCCCGTTCTTTGAGAGTGGTTTTAAGGCAGTGACAAAGTGCTTTGGGGCTGGTGTCAGCACAGAGCTTGGTGTCATTCCATGAACACTGAGGCTGGAAAACCTGGAGGAGCTTTAAGGGCTCTTATCCCGCGGTGTCTCCATCTCTCTTGGGAGCTGGTGGCTGCTCTCACAATTTCCGAGGGAGCAGAGCTCTCGGTGTGACTCAGCTTTACAAGAACACCGCTTTAAGCAATGCTAATCCTGACTGCTCCGCTGTTTTGTTTGCCCAATATCCTTCCCGGAGAGCCGGGCGTCCTTTGTTCTCCTCTCAGACGTGAGGCAGGGCCAGCCGGGGCCCGAAGGAATGACAGAATGCTCCTGGAATGTGATGTGTCACATCTGGGAAAAAAGGCCTTCAGAAAAGTCAGACTTGCCCTTTTATTTGTGCGTGGATAGAACTGACACGTCCTTGGAAAGTGGGAAAGAAGGAAAAAAAAAAAAAGCCTGGCCAAGTTTGAAATTCATGTTGTTGATCTTTTTTTAGAAGAAATAACTAAAAATGTAATAAAAAGCCCCAAAGTCTGGGAGCTTTGGATGACAACGGTTCTGAGTCAGAAAAAGGATTTTTGGATGCAGCTGGAAACCATTGCAATTGCTGCATGCGAGCCAAGAAATAAAATGTGTTTGGGGAGCAGCTGCAGAGTTCATATCCTGCTGCAAGGATGGGAAGGCTGCTGGTTTTCCAGCCATTTCCCCTTTGGGTATTGCAGAATTGTAGAATGGTGGAATATCCTGGGCTGGAATATCCCAGGGGCCAGGGAGCTCCTGGTGGTTCCTCACCAGGTCCTTCCTCTCCCTCGCTGATGATGAAGGCAGCTCCTGGAGCTGTTGGACATTCTGTGGACATTTGGGGCTGCATCCCCTGGTTCTGTCTGCCAGGGAGCAGAGGGGCATCCACAGCCTGCTGGGATTACAATCTGTGGAAGACTTCTCTGACTTCAGATAGTAACTGAGGAGAAAAATACTGATTAAAATAAATGACCAGGAGAATAATTGAGTGTGGTGAAAAATAAAGGCAGCAGAGCCATAATTAGCATCCTCTCAGTGCCCTGACTCCTGGATTTTGGGAATGTGCAGCAGCACAGCTGCCAAGGTCCCTTTAAAGTCGGGTGTGTGGCAGCAAACACAGGATGATCACAGGAATGAGCAATCTTCTTATTGTCTCACCTCCCTGGAAGCTGAAATGCAGAATTAATCCTCCACTCCATTGTCATCCCCTCCCTTCCTGCCGGGCTCCTTCCTCTCTTCACTTGGAATATTCTCTCAAGGTTTAAGTGTGAGGGGAAAGTAAGATTGGCATTTTGAGCTCTTAAATGAGGTTAATCAGCTTGGTGGTGGGTGGGAGGACCGTGCTCTGGGGTTAAGAATTTGATATTAATGGTTAGCAGGACCCTTCTTGCCAGACCTGTGAAAATTCCCTTCAGTCTGGCAGGAACTTTTAAAAAATCTGGTTAAAAACTGGTTAGAACCGGTTAAAAATCACCTGATAGTTTTACTGTTGCTGTAATTAAGAGGAGCACAGGGGTTGTGGAAGGGTGTGTGAAAGGTGGCACCTTTTCCCCTCTCCTGAAGACACTGGTTTGGGTTTGCTGGCTGGGATTTAGGGCTGTAAATCTCTGCAAAAGGCACAAAACAAAGAAATGGAGCTGCTGGGATTCCTGCAGGACGAGGAAGGTTGGTGTGAGCAGAGCTGGGATGTGTAATTCTGGCAGCTGACCTGCTGGGGAGGAACTCGAATCTTTTCTCCTGGCTTTTAGCAGAGTCAGGGAAAATACACAGATGACGTTGTCCAAAAATACCTCCCTCCCTCTGCAGAAGGCACGGGGCACGGTGAGGAGGCAATAACTCAGCAGGAGGGCTGGATGCAGCAGGATCCCTCCTCCCAAGGGTTAAAACCTTGAGAAGCAGCAGATCAATTTTTGCAGTGTCTGCTCCACTCCCATCCACAACTGGCAGCAGAAGCAGGAGGGATGATTGCCCTGTAACAGGAGAAGCAGCTCACAGATTGCCAATATAATTGCCTGCTTTAATTAATTTCACCTTCTTGCCTCTGATATTAGAATGTGAAAGTCAAAGTTGCTATTTTTATAGCAATGCACATGTAATTAGTACAAAACCCACCCAGGGCATGGAAATCCGAGCTGAAACGTTTGGTGACAAATGCAAATTCCAGCCTAAATATTTTCCTGTGCTTGGCAGTGAATCGATGCTGGTGAAAAGATGCACAACAAGTCCTCCTGCAGAAATCCAGCTTTCCCAGGCTGCTGTGCTGGATATTCCTGCCCCAGAGCAGCAGGGAAGAGCGGATGGGGTGGGAATGTCCTCAGAGCTGCAGCCTGCACCGTGCCCTTCCCTGCCCAAACATTCCCTCTGGTCCTTTCCTGTTGGATCCCACAAACCTGGGATTCTTGAGCTTTCTGTGCTTTCTGGCACTGACCCCCTGGAGAACACTGCTTTTGACCTGAGCTCTTGGGGACAGCTTCTAAATTTGGGTGATGGAGTTAGAATCACGGGTGTGTAGTTAAATAGAAGTGTGTGATTTTTACATAGTGAAGGGTTTGGAATTTGAGATTTTTAGAATATAGTATGGGACAAGAGGGAGGATTTTGGGTGTTGATTCTTTCTGTCTTCTTCCTTCTTCTACTTCAGGCAGTAGTTTCTGGTTGGACAGTGAGTGCTGCACTGCTAGTCACAGGAATTTGATTATTGAGTCAAAAGTATAAATAATATAGGTGTTAGTTCTCTATTAGACTGTTTGGCTTTAAAAAACCTTTTAACTTGCTCGATTCAGCTCCATTTTGCTCACTTTTAGCTGGTAGCTAGAGGTGTTGCAGAGCTCTCTGTACTTTAGGTAAGATTTAATAAACAACTGAGCTCAAACACGAGAAAATTCGTGTTTTTAATCCTGGCTCTGAGTGAAGACAGAAGAAAATGAAAACAAGCCACTAACTAAGTGGTGCAAATACCACCTTTACACTTGGCAGGTGGGATTAACTCTGCCCTCTGAAGGCAGAGTTGTGTCCAGGGGCACAGTGCTGCTCTGGGCATCAAATCAGCCTCGCCAGGATCATCCTGCACTGCAGCCATCAGCACGGGCTCTGTGCCTTGGGAAATGGGATGAGTCCCTGCCTTTTGGTGGATTTAATCACTGTCTTTTCTTTGATTCCATGGATTTCTGGCCTCACAGTTGCTGTTGAACTCTGAGAAGTGTTGAAGTAGCAACAGAAGGCACATGGAGAGTTTGTTCACAGGATTCTTTTTGATTCGTGGTATCCAAAGTTTCTTTTCCAGGAGTGTAATTCCTGTTGTCCCAACAGACCAGGCAGGTGTGGGGTGGCACTGGTGCCTGTTCAAAGAGGGGCACACTCTTGGCTTTCCCTCACCCCCCAAACCCAAACTGTGTCCATGTCCATGGATGTGTATCATCCACAATCTTCCCAGCTAATATTGTCACATTCTGGGTTTGCTGTAAGGGGTTTCAGTGCTTAAAAACAGGATTTTTTTTTTTTAACACTTAAAAATTAATTGTAGGGCCTCAGAATGATTTGGGTTGGAAGCAGCCTTAAAGTCATCTTGTTTCACTTCCTTGCACATACCAGGCTGCTCAGAGCCCCACTAATGACCTCAGACACGCTGTGAGGTTTAATTAAACAGGTTTAGCTCTGTCTCCTTCCCTGCCACACTCAGCACTGAGTGTGGGCACCCAGACAAGTCCCTGAGTGCTCTCCTGGCAATTGGGCTGGGAAGTGACTGGGGCATGGGGATTATTGAGGGTTTGGGTACAGAAGGCACAGGAACACATGGATTGCTTGGGCTGAACTGGGAAATTGTGAGGCTTTTGATTGACATAACTTCCCTGATTCTTTCTGGACTGAACACTTCCCACCTTATTTGCAGCCAAATATCAAAAGAACTGAAAGAGGGGAAATTTGGGTTAGAAATGAGGAAGGAATTGTTCCCTGTGAGGGTGGGACCTGGCACAGGTTGCCCAGAGGAGCTGAGGCTGCTCCTGAATGTGTCCAAGGCCAGGCTGGAACAACCTGGGATAGTGGAGGGTGTTCCTGCCCATGGCAGGGGCTGGGGTGGGATCTTGGAGGTCCCTCCTAGCCCAAAGCTCTGTGATTCCCTGATTCTGTTGTGTGTGAGAGCAGCAGGAATGCTGATCCCAATAAAAGTGGAGACAGCTTTTCTTCCCTCCCAGACTCACTGTTCTGGTTTGAGGGAGACCATCTGCTCTGCATTTCCAATAACTACCATCCTCCCACAGCTATCAGCACACTTGTGATTCTGAGGGGAAAAACAACTTTTCTCTATAATTAACACTTTGCACATCTTGTCTTTCAGATGGGAAGAGGAGCTGACAAGAAGGATGAGTCTGGAATCCATGGTGGAAACCTTGCGAGAGGTGAGGTTTGAGCAGTTTGGAGTGAAAGGTGCAGGGGTTTTCTGCACCTTTTGTCACGCTGCTCAGCATTTTATTTGTGTTTTAATTAAAAATCTGCCTTCTGGCTAGAGCAGCTGTGCTGCTGTAGAGGACAGTGCTAACGTTGGGAAGCTGGAGCAGGAAATGATGAAGTTTGTAACAGAGTTTGTGACAGAGTGGGAGGAGAGAGTGGAAGTTACAGTGGAGGATCACAATTAAATTTCACTAAAGAATGAAGTTCCATTCCAGCCCCCTGTTTCCTGGTGCCTTGCCAGCCTGCTCAGGCTGAGTGAGGAGCTTTGCAGGGCTCTCCCCTCTCACCTCCCGGGTGTTTTCCCTTGCAGGAGGCACAGGAAGCAGAAGCTCTCCAGGAGGAGCTGAATGAGAAGATTGAGAGGCTGAAAGCAGAGCTGGTGGTCTTTAAGGGTCTGATGAGTGATGTAAGTACAGAGGGCCCTCTGTGGGTCTGTGTGTCCTGCACATGGCTTCATCCACAGCCAGGTGATTAGTGAGTGCTGCTGTGTAATTAGTGAGTGCTGCTGTGTAATTAGTGATGGCTGCTGGGATCTAATGCATCAGACAGATCCCCCTTCCCTGCTTCCTGTCTGGTCTGTGTGGAGATGCATTAACTGCTGCTTACCCCATAACCAGGACTCTGCCCTCCCCTCCCTTCCCCACAGCTGCTGGGCAGCACTCAAATCTGGGAAAAAAGGGTTGAAAAATTCCCAGATTGGGCTGCAGGTTCAGCTCTGTGCAGCTCCAGGAGCTGCTGGCATGGGGACTTTGCCTGGAGTCATTTAAGAAAATCCTGTTCCTCAAGGAGCACATTGGATGGAGTCATGGAATGGTTTGTGTTGGAAGGAGCTTAAATATCATCGTGTTCCACCTCCTGCCATGGCCAGGGACACCTTCCACTGTCCCAGGCTGCTCCAGACCTGTCCAGCCTGGCCTTGGACACTGCCAGGGATCCAGGGGCAGCCACAGCTGCTCTGGGCACCCTGTGCCAGGGCCTCCCCATCTTCACAGGGGGAACAAGTACTTCCCATTTTCCTTAATGAAACTCTGACAAGATGAATCCAGTAATAGTGGTTCAGATACTGGCTTTGCTTCTAGGGCTGAGGGTCAACCTCATGGCTTTAAAAAAAAAAAAAAAAAAAAAAAGTCTTGTTTTCTCAGGAATAAATTTCCTCATGTCTCATTAGATACCAAGTTCTCTTCAAAGCCAGAGGATCTTCTAGGCCCTGACTGGATAAAACGCTTTTGTTTAAAAGTGAGAGCATGCAGATATCTGGAAAGATAAGCCAGGTGAACACTAAGGTGCCTTTCTCAGTAAGTCTGAGGCAGTGCTGAGGCCACTTGTCTGAGGAATAAACCCTGTTACGCTGATTTATTCTGTAATTTTTGCACACAACAGCCTTCTCCTGACTTCACATAAACCTGCAGAACCTGCTCCCAGGTGTCAAATCCATTCTCTCAGGGCCACTAGATCTGCTCATGGGAAATTTGGCAATTAGCTGTGTGTCCTTCTGGTGGTTAATCGAGGGTGGCTGTGCTTGGTTGGAGCCTGGGAGGGAGAGCCTGACTTCATTTAAGGAGGAGCTGCTGCTGCCCTGTGTGTGCAGAAAGGGAGGAGGTGCTGAAGGCAAACATCCTGCTGGGCTCAGGGAAAGTGCCCTGGGCTCTGCAGCCTTCAGGGGATGAGGAAACCCAAGGAAAGCACTGACAGTGTTTGTTTTGAACCTCACTGGGCAAATATTTAGAAGAGAGAAGTGCAAAATGTTGGCACGTGGCTCTTTCCTTCCTGCAGATAAGGATCACCAGCTCAGTGGGTAAGGTTGTGTCGAGTGTGCCAGTGTTGAGAGATTTATTTTCCTCAGTGTGTCTGCAAAACACAAATCTCCAAAGGTGGTTCACAGGGCCTGGAGAAGACTCTATAATAAATTAAAACAAAAAAAAAGTGGGAAAAAGCAAAGCAAACCAACAAAAAGCCCAAAGCTTTCCTCTTAGAAAGGGGGTTTGGTATTTAAGAATGGTCTGCAAATTGTGTTCCAGATGGAAGCATTGCTTAGGAGTGGGATTGTCCAGGAGAGCAAGTCTCGACCAGGATGGAAAATATGCTTTGGGGGTTTTTTAATGTTTTTTCCTTCATAAGGAGCCAGATGTTCTGTCTGAAATTAGAGCTACTACAAGGCAGTGTTTTTCATGCAGAAATTTCCATGCAGAACTTTTGCTGGGCTGGCAGCCAGGTTAGTACCAGTGAGGAGTGTTCTCTGTGCCAAGGTTCTCATGGATCCCTTTGGATCCAATGACGATTTGCTGGTTCCATGCTCTGTGTGCAGTTGCTGTGGAGCCTGGATTCTGGTTTAACAGCAGCTTCTCTGTGCAGGCACAGCTTTTGTGTCTGAAAGAGGGGAAGTGTTGCATCCTCACCAGGATTTACATTTCATTCTGCTCTGCACACGCTACACGAGGGGGTGTTCTCCATTTTTAAGGTGTTATTTATGGAATCCCAGAATGGTTTGGGATAGAAGGGACCTTCAGGACAATCCAGTCCCACCCCCTGCCATGGGCAGGGACTCCTTCCACTATCTCGGGGTGCTCCAAGCCCAGCTTGAGCACTTCCAGGGCTGGGGCAGCCTCAGCTTCTCTGGGCATTCCATTGTCCCGCCCTGTTCCTGACCCACCGAGGTTCCCCCTTGCCACACTGAGCACTTGTTTTGGGGTGGGTGCAGGTGTTTGTTTGGTGGCAAATCCCTGTGAGGTGAAACTTTGTTAGGATCAGGGGTGAGCTGTGGAGTCGTGAGACTGCCTGTGCTCTGCCCGAGAGCAGGCTGTGATGTTTAACACTGCTGTGGCCTGGGGTTCCAGAGATACTGTGGGGTATCTCTTCTTGCCTGAACTGTGTAATAATAGAAGGTAATCCCTGCTGTCCTTCCTGCAGCCCATGACAGACCTGGACACAAAGATCCAAGAAAAGGCCATGAAGGTGGACATGGACATCTGCCGCCGAATCGATATCACGGCCAAGCTGTGCGATGTCGCGCAGCAGCGCAACTCGGAAGACGTTTCCAAGATTTTCCAGGTGATTAGGCCCTGAATTTTCCATAGGCTAGGGCACGAGGGAGCAGTGATGAGTGATGTGGTCCAGGTCATTTGTCTTTTCTTGAGCTCTCTCTCTGTAGCTGTATTTCCCCACTGTCTGTCAGTGTAGCTCAGCTGCAGGAGCTGCTGCAGCACCAAGAGCACAAAGTGCAGAGAGTTTCACAAAAAAGGAGTCCCAGGATGATCTTTAAGCCATGCTGTGAGTCTGATGTTAGTCTGCACTGAATGCAGGGAAAGAAAGCAGTGTTACAGGGTCTAGGTTTGTATAATTCCTCCCTCCCATTTGTTCCCTTCACAAGTGAGATGTTTTAAGCTCATGGAACTATCATCCGAATGTTCTTATTTCTGGCTCGAGCTCCATGGCCAGAAATAACATTTCTGTGATGGTGAGCTCTGGCTGCTCCAGTTGCTTTCCTTGGAGCTCCTTGGAGTTGGAAGGAAAGTTCTTTAATTTGCTCCAAAAGTGAGCAGTGACAGCTCTGCCTGGATCACGGCTGTCACTGCCAGTGCAGCTGGTCTTGTCACAACTGCAGTTTCAGCCCTGATTAATCCACCTTCCTTCTGCTTCCATCTAAAAGTGTCTTGTTCAGGCTTTCAGTGGATCTGGTGCTTTTCTGTGGATAGTGATACCACACAGTGTGCTAAGTGCTATCCAAAAACACTGTAAAAGATCCTTGTGGTCTCTGTCGGTGAAGCTGCCGAAATGTTTGATGGTTTTTTCCCCTTGTGTTCCCCAAGACTCAAACCTCCTCAGAGGAGAATTATTTCTCTGGCAAGTTGAGCCACTGCATAGTGCCAGTGCCTCCTTCTTGTCTCTGAGGAGAACTGCTGAGGCTTTCTGCTCAGAGGTAACTGCAGAGCACACTCCTGGGCAGGCCTGCAGGGGTTAAAATGAGAGGAGAACAACACCTTGGAGAGCAAGGCCAACAGGGGATGGTTTGTGTGCCAAGAAGAGGGAAAACTGCTGTAGGTTGGGAGTGGATTGTGTTTGTGATTCTAGCACCAGCTGGGAACATCCCCTGTGTTCCCAGCATCCTGTGTGTTCCCAGCCCTCTGGGATCCTCTGGGATCTGGGAGCATCCTGTGTGTTCTCTCTGTGCCCCTTGCAGGGGTGACCCTTGAGTTCCCTGAACTTCATTTCTTGGGGACTCTCCAGGCTTTCCCATGGCTCAGCCAACCTTCCTTGTGTGCTGAGGATTCTCAATCTGTTGCTGCTGTTGGGGCAGGGCTGGCCCTGGAATAAAGGCTCTCTGGAAAGGTTTCCTGTCTGTTCCTTGCTGGGGTTCTGTGCTGGAGGCCACACCTGTGGTGGTGGCAGGAGAGGGAGAGTTCTGTCACTGCTCTCTGCCCGGGCACTGCTGCCCCTTCTGCTTTTCCCTGGCTCACTCCAGTCTCTGCATGGCCTCTGGCAGGTCCCAGGCCGGGCCCAGTGAGCACATGAACGTCCCCAGAGCTCTGGCAGCCTGCAGCTCGCTTTGCTCTTCCCAGCTGCTTCCCTGTGCTCCGTGTGCACCGCTCCTCACAGCCCGAGCAGGGAATCCTGCATTTCCCAGCAGCTGCTGGGCAGCCACACCCACTCAGACCTAACTCCTGTCCTCTCCTCTCCTTGCACCCCAAATTCCCACTCCCCTCAGCTGAGCCCTGTAGTCACTGCTGCTCTCTCCACCCAAGGTGGCCTCCAAGAAGAAGGAGAGGAAGCTGACATCGGACGAGGAGCTGTCGGAGCAGGACGCCGACAACGGGAGGTTCTCGGATGATGAGGTCAGCTGCTCCCTCAACATCACGGATGAGATGAAGAGGATGTTCAACCAGCTGTGAGTATCCCTGGAAAACTGCTCCTGACAGGCAGCCTGAGCCCCAGAATCTCTGAGCTGGCAGTGTGGCACAGGCCAGGAGGGCTGGGGGAAGTTCCAATAAATGAACAGATTTCTGCTCCTCTGTGCTGGTTTGAAAGTAAAACCAGTAAGAGACTCCAAGTCAAAAATACAATTTAATAGGAAAAAAATACATGCAATAGTAGAGAAGTAGAGAGTCAGAACACAACCTGACACCCCCCTAGTTAGGGTGGTGGGAGCAGTCCAGGTGAGGGGATCTTGTTGCATCTTTCCTATAGAAAGGTCTGGTAGCTCTTGTCCTCTGGGATCCAGTGGGAAAAGGCTGCTCTGCTGTTCCAAATCTCACCTTTGATCTGGGTGGGAAATGCTCGGCTCCTGCCCTGGCTGGAGCATCTCCCAATGGGATGATGGAATTTGATCAGCCCTGCCCTGGGACTGCATGGCCATGAACAGGAGAGATCTCCTGGAGGGAGGATGGGCTGTGGGGAAGATAAAGAACACTGCAACAGCTGGGTTAACAGCTGGAACATGAACAGAGGATATCCCCACGGAGATCAGGATCACTGCCCCAGCTGGGTTAACAGCTGGGATAGAATACACACTGCTGGGCACGTCACCTAGGACATCCTCCCTCAAGTGGGAGGAACTACAGAGGATATAAAAAATACAAACTAGTTTTGCTACTCTCTATTGTTGCAAAAGAGGAAAAATGCAATGAAAAAAGGTTATAACCAAGAGTCTGTTCTGCATGTGGAGCTGAGTATTTGATTTCTAGAGTTTGCTGCTGCTTGGCTGGATAGAATTTGGACTGAAAGCTCAGCTTGGAGTGGATACAAACCTCTCAAGTTTTTTGATATGCTTTTCAGTTGGGCTGTTGGCAAATGGGAGTGGTGGATCTGTCTGGAAGATCAGTGGACAACAATTTATAGATGTCAGGAATATTGGTGTTGTCAGCAGTGCTGCAAAGTCTGGTGTCCCACATTGGAAGAATTGGAGTTTATTTTATAAAGCTTACCCCAAACCAAATTCCTCCCACAAAGGAAGTTTGTAGCAGCCCAGCAGGGACTCTGAGCACGTGGGGCTGCTCTGAGCAGTTCAGGGGGTGGCTGGAGGTGTGCCCTGTGTCCTCTTCTCCCAGCAGGGCCAGGATGGGGGTGGCCACAGCCTGGTGAGGCTTTTGGGGGTCTCTGCTGTTCTCTTTGGCAGAGAGGAGCACCAGGGAGCACCGTGGGTGTGACTGCAGCACCCCAGGGGATGTGGGGTGTCCCCTGCAGTGACAGCAGAACTCCCAGAGCTTTCCCACCCAGTGCAGGACAGGATTTGTGTGGGATGGTCTGAGAACCACCAGCTCCTCTTCTGCTGTCAGACACTGCCACGAGTTCTGCTTCAGGGGGAGCCTTTCCTCCTTTCTGCCTGAATTCCCTGTGTGGGAGGGATGGTTTTTGCTAAAGCTGTGGATGATTCCTCTTGTTAGGACTCCTTTCAGATGTCTTCAGGCCTTCAGTAATAATTAATGTAATAAATACAGATTTTTGACTTCTCCACTGTTAAATTCAGTGTGACAGCAGGCAGTGTGTGGATTTTGAAAAAAATCCAAGAAGTTAAAATGTACTAGCTAGGTTGGTCATGCATTTAGGTTTTAGTTTTGTTCCCAAACCTGCCTTGTGATACCCAGTTGTTTTTGGTCCTGCTAATGAAATTCTTATCTCCTAGCCCTTTATCCATGGCACAAAGTGCTGCAGGAGCCTTGTTCTATCAAGCTGGGGTGAACGTGTTGGTGGCTCATTGGGGATGGGCTTGAGGTCTTTGTGAAGTAAAAAATAATAGCTTAGAAATAGATGGAAGAGCTGGTGTCATTAACAGAAACAAAGCAACTTGCATTTTAGCTGTAATGAACGTAATTTTTAAGAATTAAGTGGTAAAAAAATCCAAACTGCAGTGGATTTTGAGCAGTGTGTGTGAGGTCAGCCCAGGAGCTTTTGTGCTCTCTTATCAGGATAGATTTTGCAAAAAGAAAACGATTTGAAGAAGTGGATTTGTAAAAGGCACAATCATGAGTGTCCAAGCTTTTTAAATGACTTTTTACAGTGCTGCTGATCCAGACAGAGCTCCTGTCCCTTGCCAAGCTTTGCAGCCTCCTGGGACATCATCGAGCTCCTTCCTGAGATCTTATCAGCTCAGAGGAAGTGAGCTAAAGCCATAAAAATGCATCAGCCTGGAATCCAGGCTGCTTAGGAAGCAATTCTTTGTCAGGGCTCCTTAAGCAGGATGAGGAGCAGCTACTGCTCTGTGCTCTGCAACTTTCCTTTATTGCACAAGGTTTGAGCAGGTCGTGGTGTGAAAGGCCACTGCTGCCTGTGTGCTGTGCCCTCAGTGGCTGCAGCAGTGTTTGTGCTGCTCTCCACATCTCTGGGGCTCAGCCTTTGCATCCTTGTTCCTTTTGGACCTTGTTCTTTTCAGACCCCAGCGTGTTCCAAGGGCTGCAGGGGAGCCCTTGGCTGAACTCCCCCGTGAAATCAGCCTGGATTTGGGCCTTTAACATCCCCCAAGCTGTGTTTGGGCTCCTTTGCCGTGGAGGAAAGAACAGCTCCAAACATTTCTGTGGTTTTGCAAACAGGGGAAGCTACTGTGCAGCTCCATCTGGAGGGCAGAGCCAGGCCTTGTGCTCAGAGCAGCAGCTCCAACAAGGATCTTTTATTCTGCTGAGGGGTGGCAGAGAGCCCAGAGAGAGGGGCTTGGGCAGTGGCTCAGGCTGTTTGTAAAAGCTGTGAGGATTTCCAGCCGCTGCATTGTGCCCCCATTGAGCTCTCATAGCCCATTTTTCTAGACAATTAATTAAAGGACTGAGGGAGTGGGGCTGGGGTGCTTTGGTTAATGCCTGTTCTGCTCTCTCAGCCGTGAGACGTTTGATTTTGATGACGACTGTGACAGTTTAACATGGGAGGAGAACGAGGAAACGCTGCTGCTTTGGGAGGACTTCACCAACTGCAATCCCATTGACCTCCAAGGAGAGGTGAGTTCATTCCCGTTATTTTCTCCAAGCCTTCTCTGCAGAAACTCTCCCTCAGCTTTTTTTGTAGCCATTTGTGCCTGTGGGTGTTTGACTGGTGATCTAGTTTGCCACACAAACCGACTTTGATTTTAAAATCCTCTTAGTGCTTCCTCTTTGTGGTTGTTTTTCACTCTGTGCAATCACTTTATTGGCCAAACTTTTATTTCCTTGGCTCCTTTTAAATTCTCATGACTGAGTCTTTAAAAGTACTGAGTGAGAGGTGAAGGATCCAAGATGTCTGTTCCAGGAGCATCAGGGAATCTGTCATCCTTTCTCTAAAGATCTGGGCTGACAGGAAGGAGGTTTAGATTTGATAGTAGGAAAAAATTCTTCCCTATGAGAGTGGGGAGGCCGTGGCACAGGGTGCTCAGAGAAGCTGTGGAGGCCTCATCCCTGGAAGTGTCCACGGCCAGGCTGGATGGAGTTGAGAGCAGCCTGGGACAGTGGAAGGTGTCCCTGCCATGGCAGGGGATGGATTTAGATGAACTTCAAGCTCCTTCCAGCCCAGACCAGTCTGGGATTCTGTGATGTTCCCCAGCCCCTCACTTTCTCTGTGCATTATCATTCACACTTCAATTCTGGTGATGTGTGGAGTGCAGGGGATGCACAGCTGTTCCTGTGCCCTGGGGAAGGTGTTGAACAGTGGGAATCCCATCCCAGACAAAGAACCTGTGGGTGCAGGACCAAAAAAGCACCAGGGATCCTATGGACCCGGGAATCTTGTGCTTGCCTCTGCCCAGTCTGTGGGGATCTGCTGGCAGTGGTGGATAATGAACAGTTTCCTTTTAATCCTAAAATCCAAAGGGAAAGGCAGCTAATCCAGTCATTCCTGAGCCTTCTTAGAGGGCTGGGAATGTCTGGGAATGGCTAGGAATGGGATGGGAATGGGCTGGGCATGACAGGGAATGGTCAGGAACAGACTAGGAATGGTCTGGGAACAGCCTAGGAATGACAGGGAACAGCCTGGGAATGGGATGGGAATGATGGAATGGCTGGGAATGACAAGGAGTGGCAGGGAATGATGGAATAGCAGGGAACAGCGTGGGAATGGCCGGGAATGATGGAATGGCTGGGAGTGGCTGTGTTACTGCATCCCCCCGCTGCCTCCCGGGCAGGGAAGATGCTGAGGCAGCAGCCGGGGATGTTGCCTGGTGCTGCTGCCAGGGCGTGTTCGGGTTCGAGTTCGGGTTCTGGTTCGTGTCTGTGTTCGTTTTCGCGTTCGGGTTCGTGTCCGTGGCCGTGTCCGTGTCTGTGCTCGTGTTCGTGTCCGTGTTCGGGTCCGGACTCGGGTTCGTGTCCGTGTCAATGTTTGGGTTCGTGTTCGAGTCCGTGTTCGCGTCCGTTTTCGGGTTCGTGTCCGTGTCCCTGTCCGTGTTCGGGTCCGTGTCAATGTTTGGGTCCCTGTCCGTGTCCGTGTCCGTGTTCGGGTCCGTGTCAATGTTTGGGTCCGTGTCCGTGTCAATGTTTGGGTCTGTGTCAATGTTTGGGTCCCTGTCCGTGTCCCTGTCCGTGTTCGGGTCCGTGTCAATGTTTGGGTCCCTGTCCGTGTCCCTGTCCGTGTTCGGGTCTGTGTCAATGTTTGGGTCTGTGTCAATGTTTGGGTCCCTGTCCGTGTCCCACGTCCCCGGGCCTGGCTCATCCCTCCGCGGCTCCGGGAGCCCTGGGGATTACCGGGAAGTGCTGGGGCTGCAGAAACCGCGGCGAGCCGGAGCAGAGTGTCAGAGGGATAACGGGAGCACGGCAGCGGAGAGATAACGAGGAGAGGAGGGAGGGTGGCGGGCTGATAACGAGGAGCCTCGCGCAGGAATTAATGACAGCTCATTTGCATACGCCGGGCGTGCCTGGCTAAGCGCGGCAATAGCGCCGAGCCCGGGCCCCGCGCGGGGAAACTCTAAAGATTTTAAGAAGCTTAAATCCTTCTAAATGAAAATTATACAAGGAAAGGGTAGATTTGGCTTGTAGATGGAGGTTCAGAATAAAGACTGCTCCGGCTGTGCCTGCTCTTTAACATGTGCTTTACATGCCTGAATCTTCCTTCCGTGGGCTTTATTCCTTTCAAGTTCTTACACGCTGCCCTCGCCACCTTCTTTTATGACCTTAAGGAGTTAAAGCTCTTCTGCATATAAAAGGATCAGTGGGATGATTCTTGTAACTCCAGGCTGGATAGCCTGGTGTGGGTGCCAGGAATGAGCCCTATAAATCTGCTGCAGATGTGGCCAAAGCTGGAACCCCCATTAACACTCATTGGCACAGTTGAGTTAAATCGAGGGTAATTTTTGAATGGGAAATGGAGGTGGTTGAAGACCTGAAAGAGGGAATAGTGACACTGTGGTGCCTTTTTGGGCAGCACAAAGCAGCTCTGTGTGCTTGGGAGCCCAGACTGTGCTGTCAGTCCAAAGGAGCAGCTTTCCTTTGGGACAGCATTTGTTCCTGCTTTATCCAGCAGTGCAGGAATTCCAGTGGGAATCCGTGCCTGCACAGGAGCTGCTGGAGAGTGATGATATGTAACTGGAAAATGAGAATTCCAGTGCAAAGCTGTGAATATCAGTGTGGTCAGTGCAGGGAAAATTAAAAGTTTCATGGCTGGAGAGCAATTCCAGTCTGTCCAAATGTGATCAGGCTGTGAAAGGCTCAGGAAAATCCAGGGGGTTGGTGCTTTGGAATGCATCAGGTGCATGGGTTTAATTGCTGGAGCCTTGATCAGACCTCGCCTTTGTGTATCCAGAGCTGTGATCATGGCACAGAAATGTGTTTTCGTGCTATTCCAGATTGATGAAGAATATTCCTTGCCTGTGAAAAAATGTCTTTAAAAAATCAGTGCATGAAGGAACACAATAACCTACATTTCCAGGGGAGGTTAAATAAAATCTTCAGTTCTTTCCTGAATTCCTTTATTTCCTTGCTAAATCTTTGTGTCCTCCTTTCCCCTGCAGGAAGAAAACCTGGGAAACTTGATCCACGAAACAGAGTCTTTCTTCAAGACAAGAGACAAGGAATACCAGGAGACAATAGGGCAGATAGAGGTGAGGAAGGGGAATTGTTCCTGCTGGATGGACACAGTGCACTGCACTGTGTCCCAGAGGGAAGCAGGAATGTTCATATATCCAGGAATGCAAAGGCATTTCCCTCTGGCATGCCCTGGGGATTTTTCTAAATGCCATTCTCTGGGCTATTATTGCTCCATACTTCAGCACTGAGCATAAATCTGAGGCTGGTGGAGAGAGAACCTGCAGAACAAAGAGAATTAAACACATTATTATTCTTTTCCCCCTCTTTGTTCTGCATGTCCACCCTCACCCTGGGAAATGCTCCCCAGGACGTGGCCTCCCAGGTTGCCAGAAACAGCAGCTGGAGCTTCTCAAAATCCCTGTCATGCCTTGAACTGCTGTCATTAATTACTGCCTGTTGACAAACAAGGTGCCAAGAGCAGGAAGAGCCCTCCAGGCCTGTTCAGAACCAGTGGGAAGCTCTGACTGCCCTTCCTGGGCTCACAAATCCATTGGAAATTAGGAGCAGTGAGGTGAAATGTGCACTGTGGGGAGTTTGGTTGGGTAGCTGAGGCATCCCCACCAGTGTGAGAAGTGCAGGAAAGTGGGATTGCACCTCACCTCAAGCTGATTCTTGGCCTTTCTTTCCTCCAGCTGGAGCTGGCCACAGCCAAGAGCGACATGAACCGGCACCTGCACGAGTACATGGAGATGTGCAGCATGAAACGGGGCCTGGACGTGCAGATGGAGACCTGCAGGAGGCTCATCAAGGGCTCAGCTGACAGGTAATGGGCTCCTCTCTGCTCCAGGGGCTCCTTCCCTCTGGTTCTGATGCCTGCAGAAGCTGCCTAGAGCACAGGTTAGACAGAGTAAGAGAAATAAAGAGGGTATTTATTAAAAAGGCATTCAGAGGATTCACCTTGGGCAGTACAAGGCCCAGCCTAGGCTACACCCAAGATGGACCACAGGTCACACGTTTTCACACTTTTATAAGTTTGGTCCATTTGCATATTGGACCAAATAATTGTAATAATTATAATTGTCCAATTACAGCTTCAGGTAATGAAGTCACATTCTCCCAGTTTGCTCCCCCCAATTCACTGTTGTTTGCACTTTTTGGGGCCTGAAGCTGCAGCAGTGTCCTTGGTTTTCAGGCTAACTGAACTTGGTTCTTTGTCTAACTCAACTGTGAAGAGAACTTGCTAACACTCTATTTGCAGTTCAGAGTTACATACTAATGCAGTACAGAATCTGAAAAATATGAAAGCCAACACTTAAGCCATCAGTTCCTGCCAGCTTGGGCTGAAGACAACACTGTCACTTCATGGCTTTGTCCTTTGGAGAATCTTGTGTGCCAGGACCAGCCCTGAAAGGAGAAGTGCAGCAGAGTGTGGGGTCCTGCACCCTGTAACAGCTCCAAGGTTCAGCTCCTAAACCCAGGGAGCTCCAGCTCAGGTGGACTTGCAGTCTTTAACATCTCAGATTTAGAACTCTTAAAACCCCAATTTGAATCTCGACTCTGGACTTACATGAAGAACTTGTTTTTTAATCTTCTCATGTGTTAAGAACCTTACACTATGAGGGATTTCTCTTATCTCTTGCTCAAGCCCAGTAGAACAAGATGATAAACTTTCAATTTTCTGGGCTCTGGGTATTAGGGATGCTGAGAGTCTTTGCTCTCCATTTCCCCATCAGTAAAGCCAGGACAACCTTGTGTTTGTGTAGGGGATGGGTGAGGTGGCAGCTTGATTTTACTACTGATATTTACTGTAAACCCAAAGTTTAATGTTATTAAAGAGGTTTTTAAATAGCTGGAGGGAATGCCAATGTTTAATGTTAAAATTTTAAAATAGTATTGGGAAGGAGAAGGGACTGTTTTCTTTTAGACTTCTTTTCTTCCTTCTGTCATTGATATTTACTTTTTTTGGCTGCACCTTTCGTTGCAGGAATTCTCCATCCCCCAGCTCGGTAGCCAGCAGTGACTCAGGAAACACAGACGAAATTCAGGATGATTTGGACAGAGAGACGGATGTGGAGCCCATGGTCAGCTGATAGGAAGTGGGAGCATTCCAGTGAAGGGGAAGATGGAGAGAAAAGATTCCAAACCAATTGCTGGGGGAAAGGTGAAAGACTTGAGAGCCCCTGCAGAGGGACTCTGAGGACTCGTTCCTACACGCATCCCCTCCCACCCAAGGATTGGTGCTGTACATTTCTATTGTTCTACAAACCATAAATGCAGAGTCCTGTAGGAAAACATGGTGTTTTAATTGTGCCTTTGCCCCAAGCTGAGCCACTTTGAGCTCCAGTGGAATATTAATAGCAGGTGTTTTTATAAAATATATTATTAAAAAAAAAAAACCCAACCAAAGCTGGTGGCAGCAGAGGATGGTGCTGCAGAGGCTCTGGGTACTTCAATAAGCTGCTGGTTTTATTGAGCTGCTGCACTGATTGGCAAGAGCAACACTGGCAAAAAGAGCAGCAAAACCAAGACAATTGTGGTGCAATTACCAATGTCTGGCACAAAAAAAAAAAACAAAACAAACAAAAAACCAAAAAAGAATTGCCTCCAAATTGAACTGCAAATGTTTAAAAATAACAGTGGGTTTGGAGACAGCTCGTAGGGTGAAGCAGTTCTACAAAATTCAGAGGGTTTTCTTCATCCCTCCTTCTGGGATGAGGGAGCCTTTGGGATGTGTCCAAGGTTTCTGCTGGACTCCAGGACCTGGAGGAGCAGGACTCAGCTCGGTGGCAAAGCAGGGGGGCACAGGAGGGGTCACTGGTGGGGGGACTATCACTGAGTAACTACTATGCAAAAACAAAAAAAAAAGCTCGCCTTATTTATATGGAATGTTTGGTCCCTGCTGGGCTACAGTTATCCCTTGGGAAAAGGAAAGCTAAACCCACATTTGCACACTTAGATGTCTGTAGAGCTTCTTTTGAGGTGGAATGTCTTATCACAATGCCTTTGTTTCCAGTGCTTGGATTAGGAGGGGAATCAGCCCTTCAGGTCCATAGTGGTTTGTTTGTGTCTTTTTTCAGCGTTTTTATTTTTAGTGTTTGCAGATTTTCCTTTGCAGACAGAGAGGTAACTCCATTTTATGCTGCTTCCATGATGTGTAGAGCAGGGTAGGTGAAGCATCAGGATAAACTGACATAGTTGTAGGCTGGAGACAGGACTTTGGGAGAGCTCCAGACCACGGTTCTTCAGGAAAGCTGAACACTGGGAAATGCTGTAATCCTTTCTAGGGCATAGTAAACTGAATCCCAGAGTGCTGCTGCCCTAAAACTGGGGAGGAACAGCCACGTGCTTTCTCTGTGAGAAAGTGGCAAGACCTTGGCTTTGCCCATCTTTCTGTATTTTCACCCAGGAGAAGCAGCAGCAAAGTCGGATCACGTGGTGGTGGCTGAGGAAACCCCAGCACCACTGAGCTCTTCACGGTTAGAATGGGAACTGTAGCACCTCAGCCAGGTAAAAACAGGGTATAAACCTCAGCCAATAACTTTCTGTTTGTTTTCAGACCAAGCTTGAGAGCATAGTTGATACTGCCCAAAGCCAGCTGTGGGGTTAAGCAGTGGTTGGAAGTCAGAGTAAATACCAATGTGTTTGTTTTGCCTGCCAGGAAGCTTGGGAAATGCTGTGCAGGAGCAGTGCTAGGGCTGGAGAGGGAAAATCCCCATTTCAGCAACCTCTCAGTGCTGTGGAAAGGCAAAGTGGCCAATGCTGTGAGCTTCCTGAGTGCTGCTCCCAAGCCTCTGGAGCTGCACTGCAAACAGCCAGTGCAGATCCACGCTGCTCATTCCATAGTGAGCCTGGAAAATGGCTCATTCCTGCATGGACACTCCTCAGTCTGGCATGGCCATGGAGAGGGGCAGGACCTGGGGGGCTCCTGCTGGAGCTGTGGGCACAGGAATGTTTCCCCTCCCATGTTGGTGCCTGGCTGGCAGCTTCATCTGGGTCAAACGAGCTCCCTGCCTTTTCCAGGCCGGGAAGGAGGGTCTGGAATGATCCATCAGGATCCACAGTGTGGAGGGCACGAGCCACAGCTGATGGCTTCTGTCCAAGCCCGTGGATCCAAGGATGTCCCTGTGGTGTCCTCAATGATGGCAATGCTCAGTGCAGAGTAGGTGACAGCTCCTTGGATCCAGGAGTGAGGGGCTTTCCAAAGCCTGGTCTGTCCTGTAAATGTAGATAACTTTTCTGGGAAAGAAACCTCATTCCAAAGTGCTCATTCCTGTCATTTCTTGGGTGGCCAAAGTGGTAAATGAGATGTTCACTAGGGCTGCAAGCTGGGGGGTGGGTGGGGAATTTGGGATATTTTGTGGAGTGGGCTGGGACTGCATGTTTGAAATCTGCAATTTTAAGGGTTTTGAAGGGTTTTGAACTTCAGCTGCTCCTGAGGAGCCTCTCCTGAGGCTGAGGAAGCGTCTGCCAAGGCTGGATGTCTGTGATGCTCCAGTGGCCGGGGCAGGCATTGCTCAGCACAGTGAATCAGCTCCTGGAGCCTGTCCCTGGCTCCTCTCACCTGGGGATGCTCCTGGAGCCTGTCCCTGGCTCCTCTCACCTGGGGATGCTCCTGGCACCACAGACCCAGCAGCTGTTGGGGCTGTGCTGCCATTCCACTCTGGGTTTGTTATTTTTCCTTAAAACTGCCCATCCCGGTGGGTAAAAAGTTGAGTGTTCCCAAACCCAGGAGCTGTTGTGCTAAGGGCAGGGAATTCCTGAGGTAGGAATTCAGGTGTAGGGTGAGGAGGAGCACCTGCAGTGATGCTGAGGGCAGGGAATTCCTGAGGCAGGAATTCAGGTGTAGCTGTGAGTGCTGAGGGCAGGGAATTCCTGAAGCAGGAATTCAGGTGTAGGATGGGGAGGAGCACACCTATATTGAGTGCTAAGGGCAGGGAATCAGGAATTCAGGTGTAGGATGGGGAGGAGCACCTGCAGCAGGGTGGGTGTCAGGGGTGTGGGGTATGGTACAGGGTGTAGAACTCACGTGCATGGTGGTGATGTGTAGGACAGTAGAGGTTCCCATGGGTGTCAGTGTCTTTCTTGTAACCACATGTAATCCATTTTTCAAGAAGAAAAGGTGTTTCCATACTTGGGGTTTATTTTCATTTAGGCTGGGCCAGCCTTTTGGGGCAGCTGGGGTTGGTCCTTGGGGTTTCCCTGGGAGGTCACTGGTTCCAAGTCCGGCCGTGCTGCTGCTCCTGCTCCGTGTGTGTGGCACCACTCCAGAAACCAGATCAAAGCTTGCCAGAGAAAAAAAAAAAGGAATTTAATTGTAAAAATGCTGGAAATGATTTTGATGACCTCTTTCTTTTTTCCTTTGTAAAGCTGTAAATACTTTATTTTTGTTTTCTATTCTTAATGCGGTGTCATATTGACACTTTTTTAGATTTACAATCAGAAAATCCTCCTCATTGTTTCTCATTTTTTAAAAGGGGATTTCAAGGAAGCAAATTTTTTTGCTTGTTAGCAGTGTAATAATAGATCAAATTCCTAAACTGGGTTTGTACAAAAAATGTTTTCAGTACACAAATAGCAGTTTGTGGATGCATGTTGTTCAAAAATGTCCAAAGAATAATGTGGTACAAACGTTTTAAAGAATAATGTGGTACAAACTTGTTTTTCAAAGACTTAGTGATGATCATCTTAGTTCACACAAGGAAAAAAGCAAAATTCTTTAAAAAAAAAAGTGTTTGGGGGGGGGAATGTAATGAAACTCATCTAAGCTAAATGTGTAATCTATTTATAAAAACACAGTATATATTATATTTTTAAAGAGGTTTTTAAAGTGCAGACATATTTCTGTTGGCAGATGCAATTGTTCCCTTGTAAAGTCTCTTCTGCTCTCATGGGACCCCCAAATTCTCTGATGGTTCCAAGAGTCAATATGGAAATAATCGGGACAGATTTGGCTGTGGAGCACTCACAGGTCGCTTCCTCCAGGGGAGGCCGCAGGTTCTGCAGCTTTTCTGCCTCTGCAGAATTGTTGCTGTGATTTTATTCCCTTCCCTGCGATTTCATTCCCTTCCCCTGGCTGGGAGGATGCTCCTGGGAAGGGTCAGGACCTCCTGAATCCCAGGAGCACAGCAGGACAGGGGTTAAACTCTGCCTCAGCCTGGAGGATAAATTAGATTGGTCTGTACCTGTAGAAATTGGGATTAACTCCACGAAACAAAACAACAGATGGGAATCATGCCTGAATATGCATCCAAAGCTGCTTCTAAAGTGAGATTATATTAATTTTCTTTTCCATGATCATTCCTGCCAGCAAAAACACGAGCTGGCTGCCGGGCCCGGGCTTGGCTGAGGAAAAGCTGTGAGTGCTCCCAGAGCTGCTCCTGGTGTTTCCCTTGGCTCTGGGAACACGGGAACGATGTTTGTGTTGGAAGAGCTGCACCACTGGGAGGTTTCACGTTGGAGTGCTTCATTTTAGAGCTGAATGTTTAAGGAATGATTTATCCTGGCTAAATTAAGACATCCCAGTGCTTCCACGAGGCAGGAATCCCCAGTGAGGATTTTCCACCTTTGGCTTCAGGACTTTTGGGGTTTTTTGTCCTTCTGCATGGATGCAGGGCTCAGCTCACACAGCTTTTGCAGCTCTTTGCCTTCGGTGTTGTCACCCAGACCTTGATTTTAAGCTTTGTTGTGGGATGTAACTTGTGTCCCTTTGAGTTTTAACCGAGAAACAAAATTACCGACACAAAATTACCGACAGGACAGCAGGGGGTGTCCTGGTGGGAATAACAGTGCAGAGGTGAGCTGGAAGCACTGCCTGCCAAATTCTCTGTGGGAATAATGGGATCCCAGCCCCTCTCCCTGCACAGGGAACACTCAGGCCTTGGCCAGGCCCTTGGCAGAGCAGTGAAGAAACACTCCACCCTTCCCTTCTGTTTTCATGTGTGTTCAGTGTCCTCGGACCCTTCTGCATTGCAGGAGCCTTTCAAAGCTTCTCTTTTGAAGAAGCAACAAATTGTGTTTAAATGTGGGTATTTGATTGCAGAAATCCCCATTCCCCCCTAATTTGAGGCACTCCAACAGTGAAGCACTTGAGAAGAGGGTGCTTGTGGGTCTGGCCAGCTCCCTTTTTTGGAGAATTATGATGTTCATGTTTAAAACAAGCTCTGGGGTGGCTTCAAAGCGGGGTCATCTCTGTGGCAGAGCAGCCCAGACCACGGTGCCACAAACCCAGTGGAGCTGCCCAGACTGCCACCCCCAAAACCCCAAATTTCTGTTTCATTGGAGAGGCTTTGAGGGCAGTTCAACCTCGGTCACTAAAACACACTCCTTTGTGTAACGTGGTTTCACCAAAATCTCACAGTCCAGTCCCTAAAACACCCTCCTGTGGTTAAAGTAAATGTAGCGACCTTCTGCCAAAAATGATTATTTATTATTTATGGTGTTGGAGTGGAGGGTATTGATGCCTCTTCCCTCCTGCTGTGTCACTTCTTGTCAGTTCCTCTTTAGGTCATGTAAGCGTTTCTTTTATCCCCACAAGGAACTACTGATGGTGTGGGAACGCCCCTGGTTACCGTCCCCGTGTAAATATTGTGCTTTATATTCTGTATATTAGCTAATTTTAATGAAAATGACTGGACTGACGATGCTGTTGGAGCCCCGGTGGGGAAAGGCCGGAGGATGACCCAGCTCCCGGGCTCTGGAGCCGGGATGGGGCTGGAATTCCGTGCTGGGAACCCACAGCAGCTGCAATGGGACACCACCAGTGGATTTGGGACTAGGAAATGCTTCGAGAATCCAATCCACGGCAGGAGGAGCCCTGAGAACTCCCTCAGCCGGAGCCAGAACCACCCGAGCTCAGCGGATTTGCTCCATTTTCCTTTTTTTAGTGCCAAAACCAACCCCACCACTCCCTCCCAGTTGTGCTGGCGGCTCTCTGTGTGCTGCTGGGGTGTCCAGCCCTGTCCATCCCTCCCCGTCCCTCCGTCCTGCCCGGGCCGGGGCTCAGCCCGCGCTGCCGGACCCCAGGGGTGGGAGCTGTTCCATCAAACAGGTCCCAGTCGGTCTCCGGTGATGAGGAAAAACAAAAAAATTATCAAATAAATACCAAACTCCTGGTCGAACGGCTCTGCGTGTTAATTCTTGGCGTGGGAAACTCCTCTAAAGCAAAAGGGTTTGGGGTCCGAGGAGGGAGGGACCATCCTCATTTGCCAAAATCTGCCCAGCCCAGGTGATTTGGGGTCCTAAAATACCCCGAAGTCCCCAGGAAATTAGGGTCCTCCAGCTGCTGCTCGTGAAACACGACTGTCCTTGGAAATTAAAATAGCTCAGCCTTCTCCCGGCCCTGTGCCCCAGCCAGGCCCCACCTGTGGGTTAAAATCACCCGGGGTTGGTAATTCTCACTTCCCAAAGGGGCTTTCGGTTGCTTTTCCCTTTCTCCCTGCCCAGCTCCTCTCCCGCCGAGCCCCTCTCGCAGCCCCAGCCGTTCCGTCTCTCCGGGCAGGTTTTGTTGTTGTTTTTCCTGAATTTCCCTTTTTAAAATGATTTTTGGCTCCTTCCCGCGCCCCGCCCCCTCCCACGTGCCGCGCGCGCCACCGCCCCCCGCTCCGGGCGCAACCATCCCCATGCGGGGGGGGACGCGCGGCTGGGGACACCCCACGGGCACCCCGCGGGCGGGGGGGACACGGCCCGCACACTCACCCACAGCGAGCCGTGAGCGCGGGGCCTCTCCTCCAGACCGCCGCCCCTGAGGTTTTATTAATTTAGTAATTTAGTAATTTAGTAATTAATGTGTCTCCCCCCGCCCGTTCTCCCCCTTCCCCGGCGCGGTGGGTGGTGGCGGCCGCGGGCCGGGAGCGCGGTGGGGCCGGGATGTGGCGGCGGCTGCGGGTGCTGAGGGACTGCGGGTGAGTGTGGGAACCTTCCCTTCCCTTCCCTTCCCACCCCACCGGGTGCGGGCTCGGGGTCCGCCCGATCCGCGCTGCCATCCCCGCTGCCAACCTCAGGCACTGCCAGCCCCTCAGTTCCCCTTGTTTTCCCCTCTTTCCGCCTTTTTTCTGCACTTGTTTCCCTCCTTTTTCCCTTTGTTTTTCCCTTCCCCCCCCCTCCGTTTTTAAACCCGTTTTGCGCAGTTTACCCTTTATTTTCCCTTTTACCTTTGTTTTAACCTTTTTCTACTGCTTCCTCCTGGTTTTCCTCCTTTACCCCCTTGTCTTCTCCTTGGTTTCTCTTTTTTCTCCCCCATTCCCCCCTCGTTTTCCCCTCCTCCCTCTCCCATTTCCCCGTTTTTTCGGGCGTTATCGCTGAGCTGTGACACTGACGGGCTGGGCAGCTGCCAAGGTCCGGCAGTCCCGGGCCAGTTCAGGGGTGCCCGCCCGGCTTTTGCCCCCTGGACTTTGCCAGGAGCCGCCGGAGCGTTGCGATCTCGGAGCAGCCCCGATCGATCCGGTGCTCACCCTGTGCCTCATCCATTAAAAATGCTTTTCCCAGGGCTTTTTGCCGAGCCAGGAGAAGGGATGGTGGGCTGGGGGCGAGCCCCGGGGTCGGCTCCCGGCTCTGGCATCCCCATGCAGCGGGAGGGATGGAGAGGGACTGAGGTGACCCTGGAATTGAGGTGTTCCCGGGACTGAACAGACCCTGGAATTGAGGTTCACCTCGGGATTGAGGGTGTCCCCGGGATAGAGGTGACCCCGGGACGGAGGTGTCCCCGGAATTGAGGTTGACCCCGAGACTAAAGTGTCCCTGCCATGCAGGGGAAGGAGGGAAGGGACAATTCCAGCGGTTCCTGTCCTGGGAAGGGACAATTCCAGCGGTTTCTGTCCTGCTCCTGTCGCAGGCGGAGATGGCAGCACCGCCCCGCCATCCAGGTGACCAACGAGCCCATCCTGGAGTACAAGCCGGGGAGCCCCGAGCGAGCAGCGCTCCAGAAGGTACCAGTGCCGGGATTTTGCGATTCTTTAGGGCTGGAAGAGCCCCGGGCTCTCCCTGGTGTGACAGCCCCGTCCTGCCCAGCTCCTGCTCCTTCCCCATGGGGACAGCCGTGCCTCCTGTGGCACCCCATGCCCGTAGCCTGTTCCCAGTTCCCTCTGCCCGTGGAGGGAGGGAGGGCAGCTGGAGGAGGTGGGAGCTGCTCCCACCCTGCTCTTCTCTTCCAGGCCCTCGCTGACCTGAAGGGCAAGACCGAGGAGATCCCGTGTGTGATCGGCGGGGAGGAGGTGTGGACACCCACGGTGAGGTACCAGCTCTCGGTGAGTCAGGGGAATTCTCATTAAATGGGGGTGAGCAGAGCAGGGGGTCCCTGCAGGAGGATCCTGGGACTGGTTCCTACAGAGCCTTTTCTTCTCTTCCCAGCCCTTTAACCATGCACACAAGGTGGCCAAGTACTGCTACGCCAGCAAGGTGAGTGCCCCCTCTGTCCCCCCTCTTCCTGGCTGTTCTAGGGGGAAGCAGCAGCACTTGGCCTGGGTTTAGCAAGTGAAATGCATTTTGTGAGCAGGGAGGCTCCAAGAGCCTTTCCAAGCCCCAGGGATCCTGGAACAAACCCACACCAGGAGCTGCAGATTCGGGGTTGTGATGGCACCGGTGGTTTGTGCCTGGGGTGGGTGACCCCTCGCTTTTCCCTGTGGCCTGGTGGTGGAGAGGAACCTGGAGAGGTTCCTCCTTGCTGCCTTTCCCCTTTTGCCTCCACAGGAGCTCATTAACAAAGCCATTAACGCTGCCTTGGCAGCGAGGAAGGAATGGGACCTGAAACCTGTGCAGGACAGGGCACAGATTTTCCTGAAGGCAGCTGACATGCTGAGTGGCCCACGGCGAGCTGAAGTGCTGGCCAAGACCATGATCGGGCAGGTAGGAGTGCAGGAGAAGCTGGGCTGAGCAGGAGGGGACTGGAGGAGCTGGGGGAGCAGGGCAGGAAGGCTGCCAGGGTGGTTTTTGGCAGTGGGGATGGCTGGAGGTGCTCTGTGAGGGGAGATCCTCATTCCTTGGTGCTCCTGGCAGCAGGAGCAGCACGAGGCTGTGCAGGAGCCCCCATCTTTGGGAATTGAGCTTGGGAGGGGCATCTTCCCTACAGCACTGCAGCATTGCTGCACTCCTCCTTCCCTTCACTCTCCCTGCAGGGTAAAACTGTGATCCAGGCCGAGATCGACGCCGCTGCCGAGCTCATCGACTTCTTCCGCTTCAACGCCAAGTACGCGCTGGAGCTGGAGCAGAGCCAGCCCCTGAGCGTGGACATCAGCACCAACTCCATGGTGTACCGGGGGCTGGAGGTGAGCTCAGCCCCTGCGCCCACGCTGGGGTCACGCTGGGGCACAGCGTGTCCCAATGTCCCCTCTCCCTGTCTCTCCACAGGGGTTCGTGGCTGCCGTGTCCCCATTCAACTTCACAGCCATTGGAGGCAACCTGGCGGGGGCTCCAGCACTGATGGTGAGTCTGGGGGGACAGGAAAGGGGGACAGAGCAGAGGAACAGGGGGATGGGACAAGGGGACAGGACAGAGGCACAGGGCAGGACAGGGGGAACAGGACAGGGGGATGGGACAGGACAGGGGGACAGGGCAGTCCAGGGAAAGGTTGGGATCTCAGCCCTCAGGTTTAGCTGAGCTGGGCTGGGCAAGGAGGGAGCTGAGCCTCCCTGGGACAGCTCCACAGACACACCTGGGGAGTGCTGGACCTCTTGACCCAATCACCAATTAGATTTTAATTAAAACATCCCAATGTCTACATTTCCAGTGTGATGGGGGAAGTGTTGGAAAAGCACAGGCTGCCCAAACCTGCCCTTCTGGGGTTTTTGTTCTGAAGCAAAGTGTCTTTTCCTTCCCAGGCTGGGTTTGGGATCTGGGACTAAACACAGCAGGGTTTGATTACCTGCCCGGGCTCCCGGTGCTGTCGGGACATGAAAGTGTAACCAGTTTGTAGCTGCTCAAATTCCTTTGGGATGACACTTCCTGGGTGCAGTGGGTGTGTTAGGACCAAAGAAGGCAAGGGCAGGTCGTGCCTTTGCCATTTAACACCGAGCTGGTAGACAGGAGAGCCCAGAAAGTGTGAAAAAAATATCCCCAAAAAATCGAAGTATTGGTAAAAAGAGTTTCTTTACATACCCACTTGTGTCCCAGCCCATGGAGCACTGGAGCACAGGATCCACCTGCTATTATTACAATAATAACCTGGTGAATTTGGGCCAGGAGTAATTAATTTATTGTTGCACTGGAAAGGAAAACAAAACAACAAATTGTCTGTGGCTCTTTGCTAATTAGGCTCAGATTTCCTGCTGGCCCCAAAGAGGCTGGAGGAGCTTTTAATTTGGGAACATCACATTGAAAGCCATATTTGAGTGAAGCTGTCACTTGTGTAGGGCAGGAGTGGGGGGGACAAGGAGAGGGTGAAGCCACCATGGAGAGAAGTCGCTTCCTCCCCTCCCAGGATCTGAGGGAGACCCTTGGCTTTGGGGAATCTGCATCCCAGAGCAGGTGAGCCCTGCTGGGACAGGACAAACCCGTGCTGGCAGCTCTGAGTGACAATGTGGGACATCCTGTGGCTCACCCAGCTCCTCCTGCCCGGTGTGACAATGAATTCCCACTGGGATGCTGGGGGTGGTGGAATGCCCTGGCTGGCCCTGGACTGGGAGCAGAAGGCAGCAGGACATGAGCCTTGAGAAGCTCAGCAGCAGGGGGCACCTGGAATTAAAGTCAGGAGAAAATGCTTCTTAGTAGGGGACATTAATTAGGGCCCCGGTGTTTCTGTCACCACAGGGGATCAGAAACGGGAGAGGTGCATGCAGAAATCCTGGGAACAGGATTTCCTTGGGATCAGAGCACTCCAGGCTCTGATCCTGAGGAATCAGAGATTATTCTGATTTGGGAATGCTGTGTCCAGCCTGGCCTGGATTTCCCTGCAGGTTCTGCTGGGTGTGGTTTATTTCTCTCAGTGTTTGCAGTGGAAGGCTCCTGTGCCCAGGGTGAGCTTTTCCTGCACAGCAAATCCCTGGAAAGCAGGAGACAGGAGTCCAAAGCTCCCCCAGCAGCCTGTGTGACAGGGACACTGGGCAGTCACTGGGGGTCACTGCCTCGGGGCCAGGGGGGTGGGGTGTCACCAGTGGAGCTCTCCAGCCCCTTGTGCCTGGTTAATCCAGGCAGGATTTGGTTTCACTGCCCTGCTGGACCCTGCGCAGAGCTGGTGGCAGCTCTGGTGACATCAGGAGCACGTTCCTGTGTCCTGGACAGGAGCCAGGGCCGTGTTCCCAGCTGCTCCTGGGGAAGGCAGAGCTCACCCCTGGAAGGGAGGGAGTGCAAGGCTGGCACAGCCACCTGGTGAGAGAAAAGAGGGGAATTTGTGCCCTCAGCTGAGCAGGGCACGCCCAGCCCTGGCCCAGCAGTGCTGGGGTGAAGGTGGTGCTGCCTTTTCCCAACCTGTAAATGAAATTTGAGATTGTTTTAGTAAGGATGTGATACAAGAGCAGATCTTTATTTGAAGGCCTTCAGGGGCAGTTATGGAAAGATGTCCACAAAAACTCACCTCCCCAGTGAGTACATTTTTATAGGGTTAGTACATTTTTGTAGGTTTTAGGAAATTAGCATAATTGATAAAAAGCACCAATCAGGAGGACAAGTGGTGATGCAATTCCCCCCAGGTCAGGCTCCTGTTCTGGAGCCCCTCCTCAGCACTGGCCATGAAATGAATCTCAGAGCTGTCCTCAGCCTTGGTGCCCAGGAAGAACCAAGGTAGCACAGGGGTCTTGTACCCTCCAGGAGGTAAAAAGAGGATTATGAATCCTCCTAACAGAGGGGGGGGTTTATCTTTTTATCTTTTTTTTAATCTTTATCTCTTAACAGAAGTGTCAAGTGTTTATATTAGATGCCATCTGCTTCTTTCCTCCAAAATCTCTAGAACACTGGGATTCAGAGCAATATTAGATAAACACTATGATTTTAGCTTCTATTAAATAATTTTATTTTGTTTATGGAGCTTTAGAATAGTCACAGATGAATGACACAGATAACTGCTATAACTAAAATTATAAAGATAACAAGAGAAATTTACACTGAAATTTCATTCAGCTTATAGCAACATCAAACAGCATCAGAACACTCATCAAAATAGAATTTCTATCCTAAATATGCCAAGTAAATATACCAAGTGTCTGCTAAGATAAAGTAAACAGAGTTGGCCTGACAAGTCAGAAAAACAAAAGATCAGATTTTACCACCAAAACCCAGTAACCAAGAAGTGTGATTTTATGGTAAAGGAGATGCTGTTAACTAATTTCAATTTTATTAAGTTCAGCAAACCAGCTGATCCAAATTAAATTGGTAATATTAAAAAAAAAAAAAAAAAAAAAGGAGAGATACTTGCCAGGTATCTCCAGGGGATTGGAACTCTGGAATTTTTGTCTTTCTGCTTAGGGAAAGATATTGGGAAAGCTAGTCACTAATCCAATAGGCTATAAATACATGTGTAAATATGTAATGGTGTGAAAGCATAACCAGTGAGAGACTCCAAGTCAGAAATACAATTTAATAGGAAAAAAGAGAAAAATAAAATACATGCAATAGTAAAAAAGAAAAGAATATAACCTGACACCCCCCTAGTTAGGGTGGTGGGAGCAGTCCAGGTGAAGGGATCTTGCTGCATCTTTCCTGTAGAAAGGTCTGGTAGCTCTTGTCCTCTGGGATCCAGTGGGAAAAGGCTGCTCTGCTGTTCCAAATCTCACCTTTGATCTGGGTAGGAAATGCTCGGCTCCTGCCCTGGCTGGAGCATCTCCCAATGGGATGATGGAATTTGATCAGCCCTGCCCTGGGACTGCATGGCCATGAACAGGAGAGATCTCCTGGAGGGAGGATGGGCTGTGGGGAAGATAAAGAACACTGCAACAGCTGGGTTAACAGCTGAAACATGAACAGAGGATATCTCCACAGAGATCAGGATCACTGCCCCAGCTGGGTTAACAGCTGGGATAGAATACACACTGCTGGGCACATCTTTACATGGTAACCTAGGACAGAAGAGTCCAGGGTATTGGGAAAAGGAGTCACTGATCCAATGGACTGCAGAGCTATGTCTGAAAAGCACAGGGAGCACAGAAAACAAAACAAGGCTGTCAATCCCCACCCGGTGCCGCCGCTCTGGGACACTTTTCCAGGGAATTCTGACATTCCTGACGAGATGTTCTCCTCCCCCAGGGGAACGTGGTGCTGTGGAAGCCCAGTGACACGGCCCTGCTCTCCAGCTACGCTGTCTACAAGATCCTGCTGGAGGCTGGGCTGCCCCCAAACGTGGTGCAGTTCGTGCCCTCGGACGGCCCCGAGTTTGGGGACACTGTGACCAGCTCCGAGCACTTCTGTGGCCTCAACTTCACGGGCAGTGTGCCGTAGGTTGGGGACGGGCAGGGAGGGGCTGGGGGCTGCTTGGTGCCCCTTGGAGTGCCAGGCTGGCATTGGGAAGGGCTGCAGCAGCTGGCAGAGCGTGGCTGCAGGGTTATGTCAAAATAAGGGGTTAAAAGTGGTGACAGGAAGTGTCCGAGCTGAGTTTTAGCTCTGGGGATGAACTCGGGGCACAGGAACAGCCAGAGGGGCAGTGACACTTCCTGAGGTGCTCTGAGGCTGCTCTGGGTGGGTTTGTGCCCCGGGTGGGTTTGGTGCCCAGATGAGTTTGTTCCCCAAATGGATTCGTACCCAGGTTGGTTTGTACCCCAGATTGGTTTTAATACCCCAGGTGGGTTTGTTCCCCAAATGGGTTTGCTCCCCAAATGGGTTTGTATCCCGGGTGGGTTTGCTCCCCTGGGCTCTCATGGGCTGTCAGAGGTGCTGAGGGGTCCCTGCAGGGGCTGTCAGACCCTGGGACCCCTCCCCAGGGCGAGGCCACGCTCGGGTGAGCACCGGGCTGGGCCGGGGGAGCTCAGAGCTCCGTGTTTGTGGCTGAGCCTCCCGCTGCGAGGCCATTTCCATTTTTATTGTTTTCCAGCCGAGGGGTTTGTCACAGTAAGGCCTGAAGGGAAGGGGGGAAAGGGGAGGAACAGAAACTTCTGGATGCTCATTCCGTGCTCTTCCCTGCAACAGTTTATTTGTAAAGCCATGGAGCTGCTGTGTGGAGACTTAGTTTGATACCTGTGCTCTCAGTCCCACTTCCTTGTGCAGGGCATCCCTTTTTTGGGGGGGTCGTCCCATCAGGGGATCCCTTTTTGGGGGGGATTTCTCATCAGGGCATCCTTTTTTTTTGGAGGCTTTCCCACCAAGGCATCCCTTTATTTGTATACCTGTGCTCTCAGTCCCACTTCCCTGTGCAGGGCATCCCTTTTTGGGGGGGATTTCCCATCAGGGCATCCCATTTCTGTGACCATCAGGTCACCTCCCCCCGTGTGCAGAGCCAGGGGTGCCCTGCCCAGCTCCTCTCTCCTTTGCAGCACTTTCAAGCGTCTCTGGAAGCAGGTGTCAGAAAACCTGGATCGCTACCGCAACTTCCCACGCCTGGCTGGAGGTACCGGCCCCTCCTCCCACCTTTCTGGGGGTGCAGGGGTGAGAGGGGGCAGGATTCCCATCCCAGGAAATCTCTGGATAAATCACTGGATATTCAGAGTTATGGGATGGGGCGTTAAAGTGGGAGGTGGTGGTTGGACCCCAAAGTTTGGAAATTGAGGTTGGTCCCTTTTCCGTGAGTTTTATCTCCTTGCTCCAGGGTTGTGCCCCCGGGGGTCACGGCTCTCCCTGTCCTGATGCCTTTTGGGGCTGCCTGAAAACAGAGCCCCGACAAAGCTGGGGGAATAAAAAGCTCTTGGATTTATTGAAGGGCCTTCAGGTACATTTAGGGCAGATGAAGCCCCCCCGGGGCTGCACCCAAAAATGGACCATGGGTCACAGGTTCTCATACTTTTATAAGTTTGGTCCATTTGCATATTGGGGGTTAATCCTCCAATTACAGCTTCAGGTAATGAAGTCATTTACCCCAAATTTGCTCCCCCCAGCTCCCTTTTGTTTCCATTTCTCGGGGCCTGAGGCAGTGAGGTGTCCTTGATTGCCAGCCCAGAGAGGAATTGTTGTGTGTGACCAAAACGGGAGAGCAGCAGCTGACGCTGTGTGTGGAGTTTAGAGTTATATTCTCTGTATATTTTATATATATATAGAATATATGATGTATAATATATAATACTTTATATAAAATATTTTCTATATATTATATAGAAAATATCTACTATTATATATAATAGTAGATATAATTTAATATATAATATATAATATGTAATATAATTTATATATTATATACATATTATAATATATATTATATATTATCTATATTATGTATAATATATTATATATATTATAGATATAAAATGGAATATATTAATATAATGATATATATTATGTAGAGTGTATATAAAATATATATAATAGTATATATTATTTTTATATTACATATATAATATGTAATATAGAATATATAGAATAATATAATATATATTGTTATGTATATATTATATAATATGTATTCTTATGTATTATATGTATATTATCTACTTTGTAATATATAAAATAGAGAATATAATATTTGAATATAATATATAATATTATATATTGTATTAATTATAATAATATATAATATATAATATAAAATATTATATACTATTATGTATTAGATTTTATATAAAATATACATAATATATATAATTATAGTCATATATTATATTTTATATCTATAATATATCATATATAATATGTAATATATAATATATAATATATAATAACATATATTCTTATGTATTATATGTATATTATCTATTTTATATATAATATATAAAATAGATAATAATTATATTTTCTATATAATATTATATATTATAATACTATATTACATTTATATATTTTATATAATGTATATTATTACAATCATATTATAAATAGTATATAATTATATATACTATATTATACATAATATAGTATATATTTATATATTATATAGTATATATATTATATAGCATATATTATATATTATATATTATAATTATACAATATTAATTATAGCATATTATATCTATATATCTACATATTTATATATCTCTATCTATATATCTATAAAAATATATATATTTTATAAAGAACTTCAGCATTACAAACACACCAGAGCCCCAGAAGCTGCAGTGGCGAGGCAGCCGCGGGCAGAGCGCGGGGCGCGTTCCGTGCCCTGACGGCCGCTCCGTGTCCGTTTTCCCGCAGAGTGCGGAGGGAAGAATTTCCACGTGGTGCACAGCTCGGCCGACGTGGGCAGCGCGGTGCACGGCACGCTGCGCTCGGCCTTCGAGTTCGGCGGGCAGAAATGCTCCGCCTGCTCGCGGCTCTACGCGCCCGCCGCGCTCTGGCCGCACATCAAAGAGAAGCTGCTGCAGGAGCACGGCGAGATCAAAGTGGGAGATGTGAGCCGAGCTGCCGGGCTGCTGAAGGGCTCTGCGCCTCAGCGGGAGCCTGATGGGATTAGGGGCTGCGGGAGCTGCCTGCTAATTCCCATTGAACCCGGCTTTTCATCCCCCTCCGCTCCCGGCCCTGATGAGAAATTAACTTGTAGCCGAGTCCGCGGGGAGGGCTGGGCGGCTCCGCCGGGACACGGGGAAGAGTTTTTGGGGAGCTGAGGGGGCTCTGGGGTGCAGGCCGTGCTCTCATCCCCTCCTCTCTGCCTCTCCGCAGCCCACCCAGGACTTCGGGACGTTCTTCTCGGCCGTGATCGATGACAAGGTGAGCCCCGAGTTCCCCCGGGTGCGGGGACTGCTGCGAGGGGGGACAGGGATCAGCTGGAGCTGGGTGTGAGCTGAACCCTGTGTGCCCTGCTCCTGAAAAATGGGGAAATTCACTCAGAAATGGTCCTGGAGCCCAGGGGTTT